TATATGGGAACAAAACTGTAGAACCCCCTTTACTTGGTGATATCCAGTTTTAAATAAATCACTAAGAATTAGATATTGGGATGCTGCGCGCAAGGACACTTTAACATTTATATCAAGATAACAGGACCATAGCAAATGCATAACCTTAAAATGTGCATGATAATCAAATATCCGCTGTTCTTTTACATTTAGCTCCCACCCTGTTAACAGGGTGGATCTTTTTTTTTTTTTTTTTCCTTTTTGTCTTTTTTCGTGTCCGGCAACGGATCGCAACCCTCAGTGTCGCGCCCGGACCAGACTGGGACCGGCAACGAGATCGCAACCCTCGGTGCCGCGCCCGCACCTCGCTCAGCCAGTGAGCGCCGGTCTGTATGTGGGATCCGAACCCTCGGTGGGAGCGCCGCCACACTTCCCAAGCGGCGCACTGTATCAGTGAGCCACCGGGCCGGCCCCAACAGGGTGGATCTTAACCACAGTTTCCTACAGAGAAAGGTCACACAATAACTTCAAGACAATGAAGGGATGATTTGCATCTGATAAACGTGATTCCAGGAGGAAGCACAAGTTGATCACCTAAGACGTGCTGACCTCTAAAAAAGTTTCCTCCCTGCTTTATGGACCATTGATTTAAGCTGGCTAATACAATAAAAATAGTACCCCAAAAAAACCCCTGCAGAGAAAAATCTAAATAAAAGGCATTGTCTCATGCTCTACTGTGCTCCAGCTGCAACATGCTGACAGCCGGCAGAGAGAGGACGTGCATATTGATGCATTGAGGTCTCTGTCTGTGTTTGTTATTTTCGCCGACCCTCCCTCTCCCTTTTCGGGTACCCACAACTCGACTGGAGCAGGTTTCCAACAGTATTGAAATGACGGTATGGAGAAACTGCTTTGAGAACAAAGAAAAATTAGCTTAGAGAAGCTGTTAACCAAACAGCCCCAGATAATAAGGGTAAACTCTTTACAGGAAAATTTGAGCTAATAAATACAGAAGGGAACTGGCCATTTGGCTCAGTTGGTTGATCATGGTGCTGACAACACCAAGGTCAAGGGTTTGGATCCCTGTACTGGCCAACCACCAAAAATAAATAAATAAATAAATGTAGAAAAAATGTTAGAAATTGAAAAATTGGCATTTTGCAACTCCCAATGAAATAAATGATTCAGGCAAGGATCAACAATGAATGCTAAGACCATTAAGTTAAAAGTTGACAGGGAAATGGATTTTTTCATTAAAAATTATGATTATTAGGGCCGACCCGTGGCTCACTCGGGAGAGTGCGGTGCTGATAACACCAAGGCACCGGGTTTGGATCCCACGTAGGGATGGCCGGTTTGCTCACTGGCTGAGCGTGGTGCTGACAACACCAAGTCAAGGGTTAAGATCCCCTTACCGGTCATCTTTTAAAAAAAAAAAAAATTATTATTAGAATATAATTTAATAATAGCAACCTTAATAATGTGAAAGTATAAGTGAAAGAAGTCACATTTCTTTCCCCCAACCTTTCCATTGTGTTCCTGTAATCATCCTGCTTCCATTATGACTACAACAGGAAAAAAAAAAAAAGATAATGCTTGTACTTCTCCCTTCCCCCACATCCCACAGGAGAATTCTACCTTTATAAATTCTACCTAACATTCTTCCCACCTTCCTGCCACCTTCAGCTTTGGGAATTGAGTAAGTAAGTTCAGTTTCTGGGCTTTTTGTCATACAAAACTAAGAAACAGAAGAAGAGCTAGAATTGTTGAAGTAATGATGGGTTTATATCACTAACAGCCAAGAAAAAAAGAGGCAGAATAAAAGAGCAGGAGAAGAAAAGGTCAGAGCTGCATAGACTCTGATTTTGGGAGAATTTTTCAAAGATGTGAGAGATCGGGCCGGCCCGGTGGCGCACTGCTATAGTGCGCCGCTTGGGAAGTGCGGCGGCGCTCCCGCCGAGGGTTCGGATCCCACATACAGACCGGTTCCCACTCACTGGCTGAGCGAGGGGCGGGCGCAGCACCAAGAGTTGCGATCCCGTTGCCGGTCCCAGTCCGGTACGGGCGCGACACTGAGGGTTGCGGTCCATTGCCGGACATGAAAAAAGAC